GGAATTTGTAGGATTTGTGTTTTTTTAGAGAAATTGCCCTTTTTTTAAAAAAAAAAAAAAAAAAAGAGAAGAAAAAAAAAGATTATCTCATAAAATCACTTTCAATCTGATTTTTATGTGATCATGTATAATACAATTTACAGTGGTGTTTTATTTTGCATAAGATGTGTATAAAATCATACATTCTTCACTCAAAGCTCCCACCAAATTTGGGATTTGATTGAGAATGAATTACTGTGCGGCATGAGTAAAATGTCACTTGATAAGGTCTTGAATAATTGAGGAAACCTTTCTGGCAGATAAGTAAGTGATATTATTTCTCCTTTTGCTATTGGAGGAGTAAGGTAGACAGAAAAAGTACAACTGATGTACAAGACAGAATTGCATGTTAGGGATTTCTTAATGTTGAAGTTAAGTGCATTCAATCGTATAAAGGGGAAGCAGAAATAGTTCAGCGCCAGATTAACCCTGCACTGCCTCCCATGCTTCCAGATACTTCGTATTTATTGAAATCCAGCAAAATAGCAGCTACATTGTGTTTAGTTATACAGGTCCTACAGAGTGGTGAAAATATTGAAGGTCATTAACTGCTTTGGATTGAAAACCCATTAACTGTTAACCTACTGACCCAGGGCAATGGTTTGCCAGGCCATGCCATGGAAAACCAGAAATGTGTTGGCTCACCTAGCAGTATTTGGAAATGATGGCAGTATCATTGGGAGAACGATGCAGACACCTGCTTACTGAAAAAAAGATCTTGTCAATCTATAGATATGGCCTATTTTTCAGAAGGTAAAGTAGTATATTGTATCAAACTGCTGAAAGTTTTATATTTATTGAAAAGATAATATTCTGGTAATATAATCTGGTAAAAGTGGGTAGTTAAAACCTCACAAGCTCCCTCAGAGTTGGCCGTGATTATATGTTGATAATTGTAGATTGTTTCTTAAAACGGTGGGTTCACAATTCCCTGCCTGGATCTAGACACAGTGTAATGTGAATTTTGGCTTCATCAAATCAGTGTGGACCATCAAATAATTCCAAAGGAAAAAAAAAGTCTGAGAATCACAGCAGTGGCCTGTTTCCAAAATAAAACTGTACGTTCTGATGATTTTTTTGGTGAGATTTAATGAACAGAAGGCTTCAAGTCGAATCCATGACATAGATACGTAGACCTTTGAGTAAAGTGCCTTGAGCACCACTAGTCTACCTCAGTCTCTGGTTTTATAGGGTCTGCTAATTAGCAAGCATCTCCTCACCAGAAATGACATAAATGCTGTATTTCATGTCAGCTTGCACCATTTAAACCTTTCTGTTAACCAGAAATCAATCATATAAAGCAAAACTGTGTGCAAAAGGGCTAAATCATGGTCTCTGAATTGTAGATGAGCCCATTTCCCATCTCATCTGTCTTGACAGGCGCGTTAGCTAGAAAATAGCACTGCTGAAACAAAACTTAGTTTTTTAAAAAACAACAGTAGATGAACTAAAAACGCTTCTTCTCTACCATGTTTCATCTGTCCAAACAAGCTTAATGTAATAATAATATAAAAGAATTATGCATCTTCTATTATTCTCAGTCTATAAATATTTACATGAAGCTCCAATAATGGGGATCTGCAAGCGAGATTGTTTGCAGCCACTCCTGTTAACACAGAACAGAAACATTTTTCTGTATTTATCCTGGTGTTCTCTTTTCCTTCTAGAGGTCTGCCTGCATATTATAATAGTGGTTTGTCGAAAACTGTTGAGCTAAAAAGAGAGCCATGTAAATAATCCTATTGAAAGAAAACCTGCACAGACAAAACGTGTTCGAGCACCTGTGGCTGTGTATGTCCTTACCTTTTCACTTTCTTCTCTTTGTCTTTCCTTAGATTATAGATGAAGAAGAAACACAGTTCATGAGTAATTGCCCTGTTGCTGTTACGGAGAGCACACCTAGGAGAAGGACGCGGATTCAAGTTTTTTGGACAGCCCCTCCTACTGGTACAGGCTGTGTTATTCTGAAGTAAGTATTGTTATACTTATTAAACATACAGTTACCATCAAAAGTGCTTAATAGTAAATCTGATATTTGTTACATTAAGAGCTAGTGGAGTTCTTGGATGGTTTTTTTCACCTTTAATACATTGAGCAAAGATAGCTCTACTTGCACAGTTGAATTTTAGCAACTGAAAGCCAAAGTGTTAAAAGTTGCTCAGTGTTATTAGATACTATTTGTGACTGTAACTGAACTTGTTAGGGTCTCAAGGCATTCATTTCCCCTGAAAATCTAAAAGGTAAGAACTTGGGGAATCAAAAATGCACCCACTGGGTTGAGAATTGAATTTAAAAAAAAAAGTGACTTTAATTGAGAAAGGGCAGAGATCTCCTACAGTGTCTGGATTTTCTAAGTGAACCTTTTTCATTAAGAACAGGTGTGTCTGTATGGAGGTGCCTTCTTGCACTGTGTAGAGCTGTTGAACTCTTAGTGATGGCCTCTCGTTCCTGCGCAGTCTGTGGCGTGGGTGCTCGTGCTGTGTGCAGGGTGGACACAGACAACTGGTTTTGTAGGTGCACTGTGTTGTAGGGCCACTCACTGTCTGTAGATTCCTTAAGGCAATTCTTACTATGAAGAGTATCAGAAGAAAGTGTAGGAGGATCTGTTTCTGCCAGGGAAACATGTTCCATGTCCAAAGATTTTGCTTGTCATATTTAATGAAATGGATTGGTCAAATACTCATGGACAGCTGGGATTTCTTTGCTTGCTTTGAATTTGTGTCAAGGATAAGCATTTGCGATTGCTACGATGTGCCCTGCAGTAGACTGAAGAATTTCAAAGAGGCTTATCAGCCTTGGGAATACCGTAGAGATATGGAGCCGCTCTGGGCTGTTAAAGAGATACTGCCACAAAGATCAGTAGTTCAGGCCAGTTCAGGATAATGTAATGTTCAAATCCCAGCTGGTTCCTGAGCAGACCGCAGAGGTGCGACTGGCTAGCGGCTCTGCGCATGCTTTCCTCTCGCAGGGCTTCCCTTCCGTCCCTGTGCTCCCGGCACCAGAGGCAAACCCTCACCTCCTCCGCATCTGCAAGGGTCATCTCGGCTCAGCTCTGGTGCAGGCTGTGAAATGGGCCCAAGTCTTTGGCAGCCCCTTCTCATCGCTGCCTCTTGGGACCAGAAAAATAATTTGGTTTAAGATAGTCCATTTTGATGTGCACTGAAGCAGTCCAAGAATCCTCTACAGGCCTTTTTGCTCAAGGCAGACAAGTGGATTTCCAGTTGTAACAAAACTAGGTTGTGTATTAAAGTTTATATATTGAAATTTTAAAGAGTTCCTTCAGCAATTGAAGAGATTGTTTTGGCGTTGCTGAGTTGTTGTGAATATCAGTAAAGCTATTTCCTTTTGCCCTGTGGATTGTTTCACTCTTGTGTAATATATTGCTGTTTGGGCCATTTATTACTTCATTATCATGAAAAAATAAGGTGTGGGTATTTTATGCATCCTTTTAAACAGAAAACCCACCAGTAGCAAAGCGGTTTTAAGAAAATTAAGCTTTAATCCGCTAATGATAAGCGACGACACAAGTTTAGTGGATTTTTTCATTGCTGGCTCAACTGTAACTCTTATTACCAAGAAGAATGAACCAAGGCTCATTGAAACTTAAACATCTGTAGCTAATGGTGGCTCTGCCTGGGCTTTTTTTCTGCAAAGGAATGTAGTATAAAGTACTACTAACTGTAAAAATGGTGAGAAATGCTTCCTTCTTGCTTCTCTGCCAGGTCAGGTCATGCTGGTTATCCGACTCCTGTTCGTTTTCACACCAAACTTCATACTCCTGCAGAAGGTTCAGGAGATCCTCAGAGAGTCACAGTCTGAATAGCAAACACAGTGCTATACTTGCAAAAGTATGAAATTGCCACTGCCTCAAAGAATGTGTAGACTAAATCATCAGCATATAATCTTCTCAAGCTGCTGGATGAACATCAGCAGTGCCAACAAAATGCTGAAGTGCCACAATAGAGAGTTAGATTACTCGGCTGCCACCAGTTCCCATAATCTGTATGGGCAGCTAAAAGGACATCTTAGAAAGTGAAGTTCATGGAAAATAGGGAGAAAAAATTGGGGTATGCAGGTATCTTGGATGCATTTGTTTTGGTAGAAGTGAAAGAAAAATCCTGTTAGGTACTTTCCAGGAAAAATTAACTGAAAAACACAGATTTGTGCCTAATATTTATTGACTCGAATGGCAGTTCACAAAAAGAATGAAGCAGCCATGTGCATGGCGATGTGCTGGAGCTGGGAGTTCCCATTCGGGCACTATACGCAGCAATCACTGATGTGTCTTCGGCCTTAGGAACTTTTATGTTTTTCCTTTTGAACGTGAAGCTCTGCCCATAACTGAATTACAGGGTTTACAGTAAGCCCTTCTTATAAAGATGCCTTATGGTCAAGTCCCACGGAATGGTGTACAAATGCTGGGCACGGCTTTTGCAGGCATTTGTGAGTGCTTCAGTGACAGACTAAAACCAACACTTCCAAAGCAGCTATAAATAGTATGTCCAAACCCATCGTGGGGAAATTCTGAAACCCTGTACTTGAAAGGGAGCCGCAGTCCCCTGTATGTGATGGATAGTTTTTATTATCAATACATAACCTGCTTCAGCTCCTGGCCGCTCTCTCATCCCTTGCCGAATGATTCTTTTGGAACCTGTTAAAGTTAAATAAAGTCACAAGTTAAATGCAACTTTAAAAACTTATTACTGTTCTATGTGCCAAATGTTGTTCTTATTTAACTTTTATAAACTCAGAGTAAGTATAGAGGCTTCTAGGAAGTTTTTCTGCACTAGTGCTTTAGTTCTGTGGGTTTTTTTTTTCTTTTTAGTGAAATCTGATACCTTTGATGATGGAAACTCTTAGTAGACTGCGTTTGGCTCCACGTTTTCTTACGGCTTTCTAGCACAGCACATGTGATCAGTTTGGTTGCGAAAAGCATAAAATAACACAGGAAAATAGTAAATGTGTAGTCTGGAGATTGTGTAAGGCACACTGGCGTCTTTTGGCACAAGCAAATGTGTGTGTAACAGCAGCTTTCTGGGTGACTGCAAAATAGAAAGCTTGGGACAATTGACGTTTGTTTGAATTTGACCTCCTGTGAGCACTGCTTTGCCTTCTTAAACATGTCTTTCTGCATTAAACCTCCCCCTGGAAAAGAAACAAAAAGACAAATGACGATGATGGCCAGGAACAACTCGTCCTCTCTTCATTCCCAGGCACTGATTACAATGAAGTAGCCTAAAGGTCTGAATCCTGCCAGGCTCTTTATTGAAATGCAGCACTGTCAGTTCAGGGAATGTATCTGAGGGTGCAAGCAGCACTAGCTGAGCCGCTCTGCACTTCAGGAAGACCCAAGACAGAAGACTTTTGTACTTACACATTACAAACCAGGCTGGGAGATGAGGGGCTCTTTAAGGCCCTCTTTCCACTTGCCTGACATATGCTGGGAACCTGAGCAGGGTCAATCCAGTTGCAGGAAGGTGCACAGCGTCGAGTGTAATCATCTCCTGTACTGATGTAGCAGAGAAGATGGAGCTCTCGCAGGCATCAAAAGCATATTTACTTCTGCGACAGAAAAGCTAAGGGAGATTTATCTGCTTTAACAAGGGAGACCTTAAATCTCATTGCTGTGCGGGTTTTAATCAGTCATATAGACTATTGACTAAAAAGGGAATAAATATGTGTTGTGATTTTCTGCTGCTTGTTTCTGGGAAATTTTTTTTGTCCCAAGGTTAGGGAGTGTTTTATCCTTCTTGAGGAAAAGTGTGCGTTTTTTTTTGTAGTTTTATATGCATGTGTAATCTTGTTGATATAAATTACATTGCTTTTTGGTTGTATATAGCAACCAGCGAGTTGAGGAGTTTTCCAGAGTCTTCACAGTCTTCTGAATAAAAACTACTGTCAATTTGGTATATCAGTGTACATACTGAAAAAAACTGAGGTGGCTGTGCCTTGTAGCAAAGTTCTCGTAGCTCCAGGAACAACTTCAGTGCTGAGGCATCGGTCTGCGCTCTAGGTATTATATTTAGTTTTCCAGCTTTGCGTGTGTTCTGGGAAAATCCTCTTATGCTCCAGCCTCCAAATCACTGCACGTGAATGAACTCAGGCTAGAGCTTTTTGAACATGAACTTTTTCCTTTTCTTCAAGCTTTATGTTCATTCAGATTGCTTGACGTCTCACTTGGAGCAAGCACTATATGAGATGTGGTGTCAAAAAGTTTAAAAGAGGAACCTCACACAAAGGAACAAAACCTCACAACAAAGACCACCTTGGCTTGAGTTCATAAGTATATATACATACATATCTATGTATACAAGCTTATTACAATACTTAAAAAAAAATACAAAACATTCAGAAAATATTGAAGTGGCTGAGCACAGTTGCGAAGTACTTTATGAAAGCTTTGGTCATGTAAATGCGCACAGTCTTAAGTGGACAGGGCAGAGATGGGAAATGAGTGGATTTGGATCATTCCTGTCGTTCTCACTGGGCTGTCCTGTATATTCTCAAATGCAAGCTAGGGCCTGTGATCCTTTCTAAAACACTACCAAGGCACAGAGACACGAAAGATTGTGTGCTAACATCTTAGTACTTCAGCTACTTAAAAATAAGTTAAATGTTGTTTTCTTGGTCCACTTGTTTTTTTACAAATCAAACAAGACAAATATTTTATACTTGCAATGTAACTGCAACTTGCAGCCCCTGATTTCATTTTTCAGGCAGAATATTGACAGAATGTAATTGCATTAGGAAAGAAGAATAATCTCTGGTGTACTTTCTGTAAGGCTTCTGTATTTATAACAGCTCTAATATTAGATTGTAAAAATGTATACTTGCATTTTAATATATACAGTATCTTCCCTCTGGATCTACTGACTATAAACACATTTACATTTAAAACAAAAATCTAAAGCATTTCACTTTCTCACAGATTTGATAGTTTGTTTCATTGTTTAATGCAGTATAGAATAT